TCTCAACATATTTAATTGGACTTAAAGTGTGAGCTCTAGGAATAAGAGGCTGTTGTTAGCATGAACTTAAATAATGCTAATACGGAGTGCAATTAAACGACTACAAAGAATGGGTACATGAGTTGCCTTGCCTGCCTGCCTCTTAGGTGGCCAGACTGCATTAAGAAGCTTTAATTTTGTGGCTTCTTTGATACTCTGAGCAAAGTCCTGCCCTCAGACATGCACACACAACTTCCATTGAATTAATACATCTCTTGTTTATCTCTCAGTGCTACATCTAACCCTTTCTCCAGTCGCAGACTCCTCTGACAGCTCAGCGAGTGTAACATGATTCATCCTTCCCTCCTCTTTCTCTTCCCTTGACTAGACACCAACAAACATAACAGAACTTGAGACAAGAGAAAGAGGCCCCTTATAATGAAAGATTCAATCACATCTTACCAAAAACAAAGAGGGCACTAGCTAGTGCATGAAGCTGACTCCGCTCTTGTAATTGAGGCACGTAAATAAAAGGGGGAGAACGGCACACATTCACCTCCAGTGTAAGCAGGTGCAGCCTCTCAGGCCTCCACGCCAGTGCGTTTGCTCAGGGCTGAATTTGGCCTGAACAATAAAACTGTGTATCATACAGTTTTAAAGGCCCTGAACTGTTCTACTGTTCTTTACTGATTTTCTCTCTGACCCAAAATAAACACGCGTGTCCTCTGTGACGTAACAGCAGGAGAGTTCCTCCACGTTGTACGTGTTTCTTTCCTCTGGGCGTGCATTTTGTACTTGCTATATACTCTCACCACTCTCCTCCACCAGCAGCATCCCCACAAACGCTATACAATAAACTACTCTTTCATTATGTTCACTATTTTCTACGTTGTGTATTGGGCTATAGTGTAAACTCGTCTGACTGCATAAGAAAGAGTTCTTGTCCACAAGGTGAATGTGACTTCTGCTCCTAAATGCACAGTTAGAAATTACTTTTAAGAATGTCTCTAGAACACAACGGGACTACTGACAGCTCCGGGGTTCTCTTGTAGTCTGCCCTGAGTTACTGTGCGACTGCAAACAACTCAATTTACACAAAAGATTACATATACATAGACCTTACATAAGGAGACAGAAAGGAGACAAAAGCTAGCATATAAAGAGAGACAAACAACACACAGTTTACACACAGACTAGGAAGACAGTAGTAAGGCTTTTAGAGACAATGTCATCATGAAAGTGGAGTTAAAGATAGTGAACCTACAATGGATATCTGTTTTTAATGTAGATGAGATGATAGCACAACATGTGGGTAAGAAGGGGCAAGGGGGGGCAACGAGGTAGGAATACAAATAAGGCCACACTGAGTAAGTCCTAAAACCAATTTCTTATTCTATCAGTGGCCAGCACCATCTCCTTCAGAAAAACTGAAAAACCTCTGCATTCTGTGGATTTGGCATAGTCTGCCTCTCAATTAGATAGCTAAAGGGAATTATAAGTAATAACATATTACTAAACAATAATAGTAAAAAAACCATACAATAAGTAAGAATTAGCTCAAGTCAGGAGTTTGGAAAAATAATTTGAGTTTGGGGAGAATGAACAGCTTGAATTGGAGAATGTAAGCAGAGGATGAAGCGGCAAGTGAACCAGTGGCCTGGATATATCAACTGGGAGAGCACAAGGGATTGAAGAAAACTCCAAGAGCTCATGCTGAAGTAACAGAAGAGTTTCATTAAAAGTAATAATGAACACCAGTGAAGAAAGGAGTTGAAAATTTTGCATTCGTTTCTATTTGAGCCACATTAAGAGGATGCCAAGAGAGAAAACAGTTTTATGTTTACCAACATAAAAGAATTCATTGACCCAAAGTTGTAAAAGTTAAAAAAAAAAATGCACCCCGAGAGTGAGAATATATTAACAAAATGTATGAAAATGAAAAAAAATATCACAACTTCTTTGGAGGGAATGTATCGTATTCTCCACAGATAGTCCAGAACACATTTTTCTGAAGGTCTACAAAGTACATCCATCTTTTGAACATTTTTGATAAATCGACCGGGCAAATCTGTGTGATGTACAACATAATCCTGAATTTTAATAAATGTCATACTCTTTATCACTAAGTAAGTATGATGCTGCCTAATGTCTGATAGTGAAACTGACACCTCAGAAGAACTAAACAAGATTTCTTACATATGATAATTTCACTTTTAAAAACAAATAAATCACGGCTTTCTTGCTGCATAATAGATGCTCCAGTAAGTAAAGGATGCTGACTGAAGCAGGAAAGGGCAGAAGACAGAAGAAAGCAAGTTTCCTGTTGAAAATCAAAGCACCTAAACACTTTGATGATAAAAAGGGAAGAGACAGTACTCATAGTAAACTTGTACATGTTCTTCTAAAATGCTAACTCAACATATTAGAGTACTTATTCAGATAAAGAGCATACATCCAGTTTTGCCTTCTGACATATCACAAAAATTGTGTTGACTGATGGAAACATTTGGTCTCAAATCAACAAATCAGCATAAAAACATGAGGCCTTACTGTCAACTAAGCTATTAAAATGTAAGATACACACATCTCCTAATAGATCTATACCATAGCAACAAATTCTTGCTCCTTTCCAGTGTTAAGTTAAGGTCATCCTGCCTAACAAACCATTTCATATAGACTCTCTCAAAAGTCTACTCTGCAGGCAATGGCAGATAACAGACAGCTGAATGACTGAATACTCTAGGTCATCCAAAAAATTAGATCAAAGAGTCCCTGTAGTCTATTGAAATGCAATTGCTTCCAAATCACATTGTGGTGTTCCAGGCTTGAAAGAATGGGTCACTGCAGTTTTATTGTAGAGAAGCTATTGCTAATGAAAGGAACAATGGAAAGATTAGTGCTACCAACCATATAGAAGAAACACCACTTTCGGTTTAATTGCAGTGAACAAAGCAAATAGGAAAGAAGGGCAACCAAGTGACAAAAGGAGTTGGTGCAAAGAGGATATAGAAGCTATTCACAAGGTTCTCTTGATCAGAGCACAGCGTCCAGACTTAACATATGATTACTGGATTTGGATCACAGTAAAAAATGACGTGGTTGTCATTACAGACAGCTGACGACACATTTTTAAGAAGGCAGCCTTGCAAACTGAAAGACTAAGAATACAACTGATAATTTGCTTGGGATTCATCTGGTGCACTGAAATTAATAAATGGATAGGGAGAAAGGAACAATTATACTTTACTTGTGATACCTACTCTGAGGGATATTATTATAAATAAAAGTTTACTTCATTTACCAGTTTAAAATAACAATTGAAGGTGAAATCTATTGAACCTTGGAACTGATCAAAGAAAGAAAGAGATTCTAATTGGTGATAACCTAGGTACTGAAAAAGATTCTGCCATAATAAATTTGTTCATGCCACAATATTTATTCTCTTTTGATCAGTTTCTGGATCTTTTCTAAGTGAAGCTTAACAGTCATAACAATCTCTACGTCGAGACAGTGGTAAAAGATCCATTTCAGTCTCAGTTAAGATCACATTTTGTTTCTCTGTGACCTGAGGCAGGCTTGAACCTTGCTTCTCCAGACAAGACTTGACAAGCCCAGCTTCACTTAGCTCATAAAGCATGTTAAAATACAAAACGTGACCAAACAGGGGAGATGACCCCAACTGTAACTGTTATGTGTAGGTAGAGCACTTCTCTTAGAGAAAAAACAAACACTGCAATAAGTGAAAACAGTTTTTTTCTGAATAAATATGGTGAAAGCTAGCGGTTGTGAAAATGAAACTTCCACAGAAACAACTAAGCACATCCAATATTAACAGTTCAGCACTACAAACACGATTTAAAAAAACAAAAGAAAGCTTCATTCCAGTTCCTGACACCTGCTCCAAAGTCTCGTTTGCAACTGTTCAAATGAACTGTAAAATACTAATTCCTCTAATCTGCTGAGGAAAAAGTAGAGCATTCAAAATACAATCCAGACTACTTCAACCAGTTATCAGTGTTCAATAGCTCTTCCTAATGAGCCACCCTCTTCTCAAGTCACTGATTACTATTTCAAAGGAAACACTGGGTGTCTCAAGTGCTCCTTTTTTGTTTCCGTCACACAGTTTAATAGCCCTTATGGACAAGTACCTTTGCAAAACAGATTTCTAGAGGGTGACCCAACATATCCTCTGGACCTTAGTCAACCACAGAGCCTAGATAGCTTCATATACCTAACACTTAAACTTCACTGCTTTTATCTGCATCCACAGAAGAGTGCTTTGCAAGTACAAGGGCTTAAGCCTAAAAAAAAAAAAATCAATAACTATTAATGCTGTGGATGATTCTTCTGAATTACATCAGTGAAGACTTCTCCGCAGGCAATGACCACTGTCAAATGTATTTTGAAAAAATCGTTTGTGAGTAATAATTTCTCATGAACTTGGATGACAGCCATAAATGGAAAATGTGCAATGACAATATTTAACATATTCATAAAAACTTATAAATGCAAATAAGGCTGGAATCGTCAAAGGAAACAAAGGAAAATTGGTTCATAACTGCTGCTGAGCTAGGATATTCACCCTTCTTTAAAGCAGTTGACAAACCTAGGTATAATATTTTTTTCTCACAAGCTTATGGCTTAATTTTCTTTTTCTCTATTCATAGTAGGTCACAAAGGCAGGAAGAGCATTTACTGAAGAGCAAGCAAAAAGGTATAAACTATCAAAAATGATAATAAATGAAAATTGCTATGGGATAATTACTAAGACTACCAGTCAGTCTTCTGTTTGTTTTTTTTTTTTTTTCATAAAAGACTGTGATCAAAAAATACAAAGGGTGCAATGCAGTTCATTGACTATAACTAAATCTCTTCTGTTAAATGCAATAGCAAGTAGCGGTATTAGGAAAATCACCAGATGGTGTATGGTATCCTGAATATTACATGAATTACATACCTTCAGCTATTATTCCACATATGAAAACACTTTTAATGGTGATTTGTTTTAAATAAACACTTACCAAGCCTACACATGTAGATATTGCTACTGAAGAGGTGCTATCATTCCTTATAAATCCCTGGTAGAAACACTGGTCAATATCATGTTCCTGAGAATTTGAGACTCCATCTTTCCCGAGCACCTGGACAATAAAACTATTGCTTAAAATGGTCGAAGGTTTAAGTTCTAAGTGAAGTTCCTGTCCAAATGCTGAAAATTTGTAGTGCAAGGAACTCTTCGAACTCTGAGTTGATCTCTTTCTCCTAGTACTGTGCAAAACATCATGTGAAATGTACGATCCACTGGAATCCACTTTGACAGGTGTCACAAATACATAATCTGCAACAATAAGAAGTTAGCCATCAGCTTTTGTATCCAACAACCAAGGTAAGCGTCATTCTAACACAGTAAGCATCAGGCTTTCACTGTGTCATGACGCATTCCCTCAGTCAGCGAACCGCCTGAAAGCTCTGCAGGCTGCGTGTGCATAGTCTTGGCTGCATAAACTGCCCCCTGTAAGTCACACAGGCTCTCAAACAGTGTTTGTTTCCTTTCTGCCCCACTGAGAGGTACAGACTAACTAGGATAGCTGTGAACATTCCCACAATCACTCTTCTGAAGACGTTTGTCATCACCAGCAGATCTGTATATTTTCCCCTCCCCCTGTATTAATTGCTGTCAAATGTGAAGGATGCTCTGGTTTGAGAGTCTTTTTCCTTCCCTAAGAATGCAGCAAATATTGTATAACTGCAGGGATAACCATGACAGAGACTTTGTAGAACTGTACCACTTATTCAAATGGATTAAAGGATTAATTTATTAATACCTTAACTGAGTGAGACCTCATCTCTTTGTAGTGACTTGATTAGACTGGGTTTCAAATTGTAACTGACCTTCAGCAGAAAGAGATTACATCCTGCCTAATAACCTTTAGTCAGCCATTGCTAATTGCATGTCAAAAGAGTTTATTGGTTTAGATAAAATATGTGAAAAATTACAAAACTGTTTGGGAGGAGAAGACTAAGACCTGTTCACAGCCACCTAAGAAAGGAAGAAATAGAGGCCATGATTCAACTAACTGTACAAGCAAGTGCCTGGCTTGAAGTACATTACCATTGCCGTTGCTCTAGCCATACAGGGATTACTGGCATCCTGGAAGCTCGGTCTGAATTTTAGCTGTTTGCTGAACTAGGACTGTTGCACCTATTTCTGGTTATATGAGCAATTATGCTGAATAAACTGCTTCTCAATCCATTTCATTTTTGAGCTGTATTTCTCTGCAAATACTTGAGGATGTCCATGCATTTAGTAGTAAAACAAATCATTACTCTTTTTAAATTGAAATAACACCATTAAAAAAAGACACACACACCCCCCCCCCTTTCCTTCTTGTGTTGTAACAGATGTTGCAAAAACTATCAATCTCTTTGCCTGAATAGACTTTATTGGACACACATTAAGCTGAAAACACAACCAGTGATAGGTTGTTTTTCCTTAGACAGTGGAGACAATACATCAAGAGCTTTCACTTTCCTCGAGTGGTGTTAATCAACGGCAGAAGTTGAGGACGCTAAGCAGGCTGGTGGCCAAAAAATGCAAGCAGCTGCTGGAGAGAGGGAATCCCCCAGTGAGCAGGCGATAGGGTGCAAGGGGAGTTTTCCTTTCTGCACCCTGGTGTGGATGCACTTTGTTTCCACTCACACCCAATAAAAAGCAAATACTGCACTTCCAACTTCCCAAAGTCATCAGCATCTACGTGTTAGTCTCTCTCTGGGAACAAACAGCTCCCGAGCTCTCACTCACACGAGTCCTTTCTCTCCAGGTTTGTTTCCCCGTAGCCCGCATTGCACAGCTTCTTCCACACTCCCACTCAAACCTTTTCATTACTTTTGGCTCATTGCTTCCATAACAGACACATGAGGTTTTGTTGTTGTGGCTACACACACATTCATCTTTCCAATCACACATGTAAACGTGGATGTATTTACCATCTCATTCATTTGCTTTGCTGTTACATCCTTCCTTTTAGCCTTTGCACGCAGGGCTTAACAAGTTAGCCTCCACACACGGTTAGCTATTTTACAGCAGCCCATTTGCCTTCACTTTGTGCTCCCTGAACACTGTGGCTTCTTCCCTTAAACACTCAGTCCACTAAAAAAAAAAAAAAGCCTCCATGCAAATGTTCATACACACAGACACAGAAAGAGCTATACAAACCATGATTCAATTCACTGATGCTGTCACTGGTTAAAGTTGCTGCATGAGACATGCAACAGAGGCAGCACAGCTGAAGGGGCTGCAAGAGGAAAAAAAAAAAAAAAGAAAAGGAGTATTGGGCGAGATTTACTTGACAAGGGAAGGCAGAAAGACAAGGCACCAGAAACTGCAGTAACCTGGTATGAAAGTACACTAGGCGACTGCAAAAGAAAGTGCTCTCGACCTGCCTTTACAGTGCTTCC